AGAGAGAGAGAGAGAGAGAGAGAGAGAGAGAGAGAGAGGTTTAGGTAGAAAGAAAGCAGTGTACAAAAATATTCACAAAAGAACAAAAGTATTTGCCTGGGCTGAGCAAAGTAAAAAAATATAATAAGCATCATGGACCAGTCAGACTTGCATTGAAAGTAAACGCCTGACATATTTATATATATACAAACAAATGTCAGCATAGGAGTAAATGGAAAGAAACAAGAGCAGAGAAAGCAACTTAAAAAGAAGAGAAGCACATTAACTTTCCCACAGGGACATCAATTTTCTTATATCTGAAACCGTACTGTAGATAGAAGTGGACATTTGAGAATATTCACACCACTCTCTTCTTGTCTTTCCCACAGGCTCCCCTTGCCTTTTCTCACACTGCCGTCAATCAGGGAATGAAGCCCCTCCCACCTGCAATACTGCCCCGCCCACTGGCTCCAGCAGCTATTGACAGTAGAGATGGTAACCTTTCTACACTTCGCCAGACTCGCAGTATGCAAATGACAACAGTGAACCTCAACCCTGGATGCATGTAAGATATTTGGAGTAGTCATATCTTTAAAAATTATTCCTTTGTAACTAGTTAAAGATTTCTAAAAAAAACACCCTTTTTAAAAACTGTTTATTCGTACATTCATCCTGAAGAAACAGCTTAAAAAGACAAAAAATATGACATTGTCGTATGAATAAAGAGTAACTTGCAATATTTTTTACTCACCCTGTAAAATGCGGTAAGGAAAAGAAGAAATGCATATCTTTTTTACCTGTCTGTTCCTGATAAAACACATGAATACAAAAAAGGTCCTCTTTCCGGGGAAACTACAGAATTAAAACCACAGACAAAAATAACAGAAGGAAAGAACAGAAGTATAAGATACTGGAAGCAACCTCCAACCTCTCACACTCACAATCTTATTAGCTTACTCACCGTTAGACAAGAATCCCACACACATAGCACCCGTGAGTCTGGCGACCATTGCAAACCCGCTAAGTCATCTGTCTCTGACTCGAAATGCTGAAATTGAAAAGGTAAAATAAAAAAGAAACAAACATTGCAAAAGTCTGAAGAATTCACACATAATCTAAACTGAAATTTTACACAAGGAAACAAGCATCTTACATGTCTAAGGCAAAAAGAAACAGTCAATTAACATTTCAAGTCATGAAGGACACCCCCCCCCCATAATCTCATTCGAAGCCCCAGTCTGAAGACAGGTTGGCAGAAAACTTGTAACAAATGATCATAGAGAGGTCGACTTGTTACGAAAATGATTGATCATGGTGGTGTTAGACAGGAACTACTATGAATAGGATGAAAATATAGGAAAACTGTAAGAGTGTCCAGGCTGCTAGTACAGGTGACCGCAATGGAGAGTTTAAATATGAAGGCTGGTTTGACTTAAGTTCACCACAGAAATGTAATGAAGTGTTTTAGTTTGGGGTGGGGAAAATAAGATGGAGTAACCAAAAGTTTTGTCTAGCAAGGGGCTGAATTTCATTTAAAAAAACAACAAAAAAACCAAAGTAAAAACGATTCATACTCTCTATGAGGTCAGCTCACCTTCACAAGTGACCAGGACTGGCAGGAGAAAATACTGATGTGATCCTGACAGTCTCGCCGCTCAGCCAGGGCCATGTACTTGCCTCCAACGCTGAAGTCAATGCCTGGGGACAGGAATCATAAAGTTCTCAGAGACACTAAAATACTGTCTAGCAGTACTAGCACACATTCACACAACGAAATCAGTGGGACACGGAAATCTTTTCGTTCTAGACAAATTTTGCTATGCACATGTTTTAAATACAAAGAATACATGAATGATTAAAGATTAGGGACCTTAAAACTCTGTTCGCTATGTGTGCGTTCATTATGTACATGTTCCAATAAGTGCATGCCTGACTGCAGTCTTAACTGTTCACTTTCTATAATGCCCGCAGTAGTTACCAGCATAAAATTATACAACAAAGAGAGCAAAATCGACAGTCATTACATGTGTCTGTTGCACACAGAAGATATGGTTTGATTTCAAGGTTGGATTGGAAAAGTAAAGTAAAGTAAAAGTAAAAGATTTCAGAGTTGGTAGGTTATTTCATCCAGTGCCTGTGGTTGTCTGCTGGAATGATGTAGCTCTAGCCATGAAGCAAATGGTATTGGGAAAAGTTTTAAAATATAAGAAATTTAACAAACATAAGGTCTCAGTTATGAACAAAGTCATACCAGGTCTCAGTTTCCGCATATATTAAAACATTCAATTAAAATCAGCATTGTTCTATATTATATCTAAGAAAATTCAGGCATGAGAATCGACAGAAACAGCTTAATGGTAACTGTGCCAGGTAGCAGTAAAGGTTGGTTTGGTTCAAATCCTGAATGAAAAAGCTTAAAGTACCTTCATGGCTTCTCACCCACTGGGTTTTGTCTATCAGAGACAGATGGTAAATTGAGGGGGGGTGGGGGTGGGGGCTGTCCCATTTGTGGCTAAAATGTAATGAAAAGCGAACTTTAATAATACTTTAGGATACATAAAGAGTGTCTTAAATGAAAACAGTCACCTTTGGAGCATTGTTTAGGGTAGCGGATATAAGACACTGACTTCGTTACCAGAGACCAAACCGTCACACGCAGCTGAAATCAAAGCCCAAAAGTAATCAACTTATAATCTGCTGAAAAAAAAAATGTTTGTTAGATAAAAAAAGTATGCCAGTAAAAAGCAACCTGGCATATATTTCTGGATAGTTTAGCATAGAGAACATAAGCCAAAAGTAAACAACAGATATAATGGGGATCATAAATTAAGTAAGACTTTTACATAATACTAACAAATATCATTAAAAGTACGACACAAGTTTAGCTTTAGACATTTAGTACAGCAGAAAAAATTATAAAAAGGTGCCTGCGTCTCAGAAAAAACACAAAAGTATTGCTCTAAACTATCTAAAGCCTTATAACAATAACATATTCAAGAGAAAGGAAGGCAAAGTGACAAAGAAAAGAAAAAAGAACAACAAATGAGCAAAAACTTACATGGGTGGACAAAAAGGAATGAGGGTATGGTCATGTATAACTAGAGGTTTGGCTTTCACTACATGTTAAAGTTATTCTGGGTAATAAATTTCCAACATATTTGGCTCTCAAATGAAACGAATACTGTATTCTCTTGTCATATTTTGCGGAATCAGTAACACACAGTTTTTTTCTAGTAAAATTGCACCAGGGAGGGTTTACAGAGGCCTACAATTCACAACTAATATAATATATAAATATATATATTTTTTGTACTCTGCTGATTTTTACATATCATGGGAGATTTTGGCATATAATCCCTGCAATATTCAAGGGAACTCTCTATACATACATACGTAACTCACATACTCAATGAAGATGACTGTGACTCATCAAACAAAACCATCACTTAGATCCCCCTTTCCTTATAAACCAATAGAGGTAACACATTTTCAGAGAAATTTCAATAATACCGACAAGAGTGAGAAACAAGAATTTTATCACCATTTCAAAAAATAAAAACCTGGCTTTATGGTGTCAGATAACTATTTTTTGTAAAGTACCCAAAAATAAGATTTAAAAAGACATACGTGAAAGTCGGCAGTGGTAAGTACATGCCTCCCATCTGGGCTCCAGGTCGCTGCACTCAGGCCAGCTGATCCCTCATCAATCTTACAGTGCCACTCTGGGATTTCTAGGGACCAAACCTGTAAAGAAAAGAGAAAAAAAGAAATCTGAGAATCTGATAATGTCTCACTCACTTCTGTTAGCTGTATCAATGAGTCAGCTCTCTTTAATGCCAAAATCAACAGCTGGCCTGTGCAAATGGATTAATCCCCAAAAGTAAAGGAATTGAAATAGAGTCATATGACTTTACCTCCATGAACTCACTGACCCCATTATCAGACTCACACTGGCATCAAAGCACCTGCTAAAACCCCACGGGCTGAATACACTACACTCACTTCCATGAGCTAAAAAAAAAAAAAAAAGAAGTAAAATTAAGAATTTATACAAAAACCTCACCTTTTATATCTTCACAATTAAACACATAAAATAAAAGAAAGGACAAAAAACAAAATTTGCAAAAATGACTGCATTTTTACCTGAACAAGTCCTCTCTTGAACATACCACACAGTACAAATTGTGAATCCCCTGACCACTGGAACAGAGAGAAAAAAACAAATTATGAGTACTGGTATTTTGACTGTCCTACAGTATGTAGAGAGTTTTGAGAAAGCATGACAAAGCACTAATAGGATATTACACACATATTCTATCAAGATGGTAGGACAACACTGCCAGAACCAATCATTAGCCTGAAAATGGACACGATAAAGGCACTTTTTTCTCACTTATTCAGAACGTTGTCATTGTTTTAAAAGCTCATAATATCTTACTTTACAATTCATGAGCACTAAACATGAAACTGAAAATGAGACATTATCTAAGAGAAAACTTGACAGTCGAGTTTAAAATAAGTAATAAGACAGCAATATATGAAATTTAGAATTATACATTTCACATTTAAAGTTCACACTCATAAAATATTAACACACATACACGCATGCCACACTCATTCCAGAAGTAATGATACACCACCTCAATATACTGAATGGCATCCAAACATGAGTAAAGCTGTTGAATCTGTAAAGTTTCGACATCTCTTATCACTAGCCGGTAGTCAACACCTGAGGCCTGCAGAAGAATGGATATTGTTAAAAATATTGTTTTAAAAATCACAACGATGTCACATGCTACAATATGTGGACTCACACTTAATTAATATCTTTATAAGCTGGCCCTCACAGCTTTTCATTGACAATGGACGAAAAATAAATTTAAAGTCATTACCTGTTCATGATTAACTCTTAAATCTCTCAAACGGGTAAATCCTCTATGCCGGGGCTCTCTTAGTGGTACGAAATGAAAAAGTGAGGTATCATGTCACTAAATTGGATAAATGAATAAATCAAAACAAGGGAACCTATTTTGATAGACTTTCTTCATATAAAGCATGAACTCCCGGTAAAAGAGACCTGCCGAAAAGCCATAATTTCACGTCAAAGTCATTGTAAAGGAATATTATATGCCTACAGCGCTGCCAGCAGGTCACCAGCACAGCGCTTCAGACTGCAAGCCGCTGTGAGCCACTTGTCGGAGATCAGGAGTTAATTCAATGTTTTACTTTGCAAACTTTAGTCTCACGACTCTCAATAACAATTCAATAGAGGCTTACTTTTGAAATGATATTTTGATTTAGATCCCTCATCAGTCTATCTCAGATGAATGAAAGGAGGCAACAGCAAGGCAAAGCATATAAACCAGTCAAGAAATTTTAGAAATTGAGGACTGCGGTAACGAGGTTCACCCCTTAACTCTTTTCCTACCAGGCCAAAATCTACCACTGGCCCACAGCTTTTCCCTGACCTATTTTTACGCCCCTACTCAACAAAGGAATTTCGAAACATCCAACTTAACACACACAAACCATCATATGGCCATCAAACTGAAAGTTTAAAAATACTCTATCAGACGATGATACAATATTGAAGATTTATTCCAATTTTATCAGGTTGGGGTATTATGCAATATCAAAGGAGTCATATATATATATATCAAATCAATTTTCCAACTGTGAAAAGTCATAACTAAAAAAGTACAACAGCATCGTTAAAAATTCTTAGGTAGGATGTTTCAAAAAGTGCAAAAAAAAATGCTGAAAGTTATGTATGTGTACCTATTATAGACTACGTTTTGAAGGGGACATAAAAAAGCGTTGAAATGACTAAAAATCGTCTGTGTCAATATTTTCTTCCGTATCTGTTAATGGGAAGTCTCTATTATTTTGAAAACATAGATCGGCAGAGAATTCGTGTCCTTCTCTCTCTCTCTCTCTCTCTCCTGGCGCTGTGGCTTCATAAACGGTCAGCGATGCCGACAGCACGCAGGAACTCAACACTCGCCCGGGGGTCCTTAAAAAGTGCTGAAAGTGGGTTACTGAAATGTCCCAGCAGACGGGTTCTAGCACGATAGCTGGCGGGACACCTCAGGAACACATGGTCCATAGTTTCGTCCTCCTCCTTGCAGGCTCGACAGGACGGATCTGGGTTGTCTGCTGGCGCAATTTTGTGGAGATATGATCTCAGCTGGGGCGATTTTCCACCAGTTCTCATTTGGGAGAGAAGCCGGCGGTCCTGTCATCTGAGCGAGGCCTCAAGCTGGAATGACGGCGGCTGGGCAAACGGCAGTTTGGGCTTCGCCTCTCTTTTCCACTTTGCAATTCGTGTCCTTTCATTAATGGATAGGAACTGATAACGAGCCACTTGAGTCGTACTTTGCGACTCTCGGTCCAGCGAGGCCACGAGCTGAAAAATGCGGCTCGCGGTAGGAAAAGTATTTTAATGAGTTTCAAACAAATGCTCGGTGTAAAACAGACTATACTACAGAGGCCAAATGAGAATAAAATAACACATGATTACAAACTCAACTTATGATGCTGGTATTGGTAGGCCTTACTAGATTCTCTGTATCTAGATCTAGATCTAAGATCTATAAAGTATCTATAGTTATAGTACATCATGTGGTAGTCTCTGGTTTTGGCCCCACCAAGAGTAATGAAATATCAACAGCAACTTATAGGTTAGGTTTAGGGACAGAGGTAGGATGGCAGGATTGTAAGATTGCTTGATGGTAGGGTAGATCTAGTGTATAGTAATTTAAGCAGGCCTAATCACTGGTGGGGCCAAAACCGGATCACTGAAACTGACACAATTTCTAATTGGAAGAGGCTAGCCGTACTTATAATTCTTAATATGATGGCTAGACTGACCATTTATAAAAAATAGGCCTACTGAAGTGTGCAGTACCTAAAGTATTTGTATTTGAGACGAAACCAGGTGCCTTAATGACAGTGCATGTATTTTAAACCTCCGTTTTCTAATGTTAATAGTAATAGCGCCTAAGATAAACTTACGGCTAGACTGGCAGTGTAGCCGTACTTAAGTACGGGTAGACAGCCAGGCTAGCCGTACTTAAGGACGGCTAGACTGTCAGGCAAGCCGTACTTAATATTGATGGCTGAATTGTAAATGAAATTTTTAGTTTGCAATGCCTAAAGTATTTGTATTTCAGACAAAACCAAAAGGTGCCTCACTGACTTGCATGTATTTGAACCTGAATAATTACTAGATCTGGATCTAATGAGACCTGTGTACTTAACAGGCTTGAGTCGATTGGGCCAAACCTAGATCTAAGTACGGCTAGACTGGCAGTCTAGCCGTACTTAAGTACGACTAGACTCTCAGTCTAGCCGTACTTAAGTACGGCTAGCCACTTCGTTTCTAATCATCTAATCTCAATCACAATTAGATCTAGATCTAGATCTAGATTCTAGATCTAAATCTAGATGTAGATCTACATCTTATGGATAATATTCAGTTATTCTGATGATAAACTAAAAGTAAAGCATAAGCAGAACAGAGTTAGTTTAGACAACCCTCTACTGGGTGGATCAGCAAGTTGCCCGCACTCTACAGTATATTGTAAGCAGGTTTGGCCAAAATGGCCCAAAAGATCATGTTTGATTACATTAGTTACCAAGTATTTTCCATCTGGAGAAAATTTGCAAAGTTGTAATGACTGTCGGAACAACTCTGAAAAGTTCATGATGTCCTCCAGAAAGTCTTACAAACTCAAGAAGAAGCACAAAAACCCCCACAGAAACCAAGACGGGAAATACAAGTTAACATCAGGCTTCTGTTATCAAGTGTTGACTTGCGTAGGGCGCCATTTTTCATAACAAGATAGGAACGAAGTAAATAGTATATTATTCTTTATTCAATAATTGTAATAAAATATTATCAAATATATCAAAATAACTTCAAATATACATTTACTACAAAAAAGTCTTAATGTATTTATTATACATAAATGTTCTTTGGTGGTCTTTGCTGCTGAACTTTTCGCGCCAAAACTGACAAGTGCAGACACAGTCGCTGAATATTCTTACGCCGTCAAATATTGTTCTGAAAATTTCCGCATAAAGTGGAAGTTCCTACCTTGATTGAGTAGTTATTTATCTGTAGGATTGATAACAAAATTTGATTGGAAGTACTGATCTAAGAAGGGAAAAGGCAATAGCTTTAGAGACAGCGTAGGAATACAAATAGGTCATTGTGTTTGTGTGTGTACTTTCGGTCTTCCTACTTCCCACACGTGGTATGAAAGTGTGTAGTGATCTGAACGGTTGTGTGCTTGCTTGGCCTATCGTCAAGAGCTTTTGTTTTGAAGCGATGATAAGTACCTGGCAATGGTAGTGATATCTTGCTGACACTGGGATTTACTAATTTTGACAAGAAGACACTGTAATTCGCTATTTAAGGGCTTCGTTACTACGTAAGTATTCTTTTTTTCGTGCAGAACTTTATTATAATGGTTCCCTTTGTTAGTTTTTCGCATGCCGACCCGACCTCCGGCTCCGCCATGCAGCTCCTGCTCCTTTTGGCTGCTGTGGTCTCAGTAGCTGCCGATTTTCGTTATTTTTAGACATTTTGAAATATATTGATCCTGGGTTTTCCATTACTCACTCGGTAATTCTGTCCTTTTTCTTTTATTGTAATCTAGGGATTTGGTGCAAAGTTAATTTTTATAGTTACCTCGAAGTCAACGACTTCGGTTTCATAGGGACTGGTCACTCTGACGGTTTGTGCTGCGAGCCGTGGGCGTGTCCATCCCAGTGTCCAGCTGAAGAGAACATATAAGAGTCCGTAATGAATGCAATCACCATACATCTAGATCTAGATCTATAATATAGATCTAGATTCTAGGCCCAGGCCTACATATTTAGACTCTAGATTAGTTCTGGAATGTACATCTAGTTATAGCTTAGATCTAGCTAGTAACTGGAACGTAAACATTATAACGAAGTGGCTATTTGGACTCAGTCTAAATAGCCTCCCCCCCCCCAATGACAATGTGGATGTACGGAATCAAACTCAAATGTGCGGATGTTTCAGAATAGTGTGTATTGCATTGTCCTGATTTTATTTGAACATCATGTAAAGTATACCTTGATCTATAGGCCATACTGTTGGAAAAGCTTTCCTTTTAGGCCACTGTTACTTTGAACGAAGTGTATACAGTAACAGACCCGGTAACCGGGAACAAAGTCACGAAGTATACAGACCCGGTAGGGGAACTCTTTTGTGATTTCGGAAAGTTTCATCGCCCAGACCCGGTAGTGTGTGTGTGTGTGAGAGAGAGAGAGCAGGGGGAAGTGCTAGCAAAATGTATGACATGCCCCAGTTGGCAGGAGGGAACGAGTGAAAGATAAAGTGGGAAATAGGTGGGGAGAAAGAAAGACAGAGACAATCAAAGAAAAAGAGAATGCTAGCGACAGAGAGAGAGAGAGAGGATGACTGTTCGAGAGAAATTATGACATTGTTCTTTTCTTCAAATTGTGATTCCTCCAACTCCAAAACGGAGGAACAACGATCGTTCATCGAAAAGACTGCGCTTTTTCGGTAGTTCCCACCCCGCAATTGTTATTCGCCGGTTTTGGCCTCAAGAGTGGCGGGTTTCAGGGGGGCTTGCCCCCCTGTCCTAATAAAAATGTGGGGGGTTTCAGGGGGGCATGCCCCCCTGAATTTTACCATAATTTGATGTTTTGCAGGTTAGGTTTGATATCTTAGCTCGCATCAAACGTATAGATCTCGAACTGGCTCAAAATATAAGGGGGGTGGGAACTACCGAAAAGACATCCGCAATCTTCATTTAGATCTAGATCTAGGCTAGCCTCGAAACTAGATCAATGATTTATGTCTGTCTGTCTGTCTAGATCTAGATCTCTAGCCTAGGCCATAGATATCTAGAAGAACCTAGGTCTACCCTGAGCCAAGAGGGCGCTGAAACTTTCCGAAATCACAAAAGAGTTCCCCTACCGGGTCTGTATACTTTGTGACTTTGTTCCCGGTAACTGGGTCTGTATACACTCCCTACTTTGAATGACTGACTCAGTGACTGGTAAATTTTTACTTTCACTCCCGAACACAGATGCACTGCTTCGAACACTGATGCACTGCTTCGGGGGTCAAACTGCAGAGCCTAGAATCTACTGTTTGCTGCAGATTACACATTAAGCCGCTACAACTGTCGCAAGTCAATTATTTTCAAGAAAATTTGAAAATCAAATTAGCCTCTATGGGTTAATACAGGGGGGCAGGGAGGATTCCGTAACAAGTGACCACTACTAAATGTAACAAGTGACCACTACTAAATGTAGATTAAAATTATGCAGGTGGCTATTCTCCGGCGTCTCGCCAGTCAATAGATCAGAAGCTATTGCACCGCCGGTCTATTACTAATAATTTGTCGGCGCAGATTTGCAAATCTCTCTCATTTATTTGTTTGTCTTGGGAAAAAATTCCCACAACTTTACCACTTCGTGCCACTTCCATTGATACAGTAGTATACAGACAATAGGTTTTCAGGCACAAACTGCCCTAATTCCTCCAATTTAGAATTATGTTGGGTGCAAGAAGAAACATGTTCACAACTATTGACGCGAGTTCATAACAAGACAAAGAGTGAGTATAAAGGAGTCACACTTTCACTGTTTACAAAAATGGAGATACGATAAGACAGCACTGAAGTCGCGACATATCAGTTGAATTGATCTAAAAATACTAAAATTACAACATGAAAACAAGAAATAAGTTAAACAGAAAGCTATACTATAATAATGACTAGACAGGATTTTAGACACAAAATCAATTTTGTTCGTTTAAATAAACAGAATCATTATTTTAAAATAGGCGGCACTATTTCTCCGAACGTTCGGGAAAATAAAGCTGTGCACTATTTCTCCGAACGTTCGGGAAAATAATATAAAGCTGGGCACTATTTCTCCGAACACTCTGAAATATCCTTTCCCGCAAATTTAGGATATTATATAGATCTATAATTATAGTATGGGCCTACCAAAGATTGTTCGTATACAATATGGTTCAATCGGTCCAAAAAATGTCCGCCGTAAATATTTATATAAAGAAATGCTACAATTCCAAACAGTTTTTCGCTATAGATATGACGTGTTGCCTATGAAGGGTGCTGCTCTTAAACGTAATGTGTTGTGTTCACTCGTGTGCTCTAGATCTAAGGAGGGTTATTGATAACGACACATAGAACTGGCATCTGCGTTTGTCACTGCTGCGACCAATGTACTGACACTGGCAAGCCCCTTAATGTGTGTGATTCCATAATTTACATGTAATATCCTGTACTTTTTTTTTTTAATTACGCACATTTAGGGTTAAAACTGCCAATCTTCTTCGGACAGATGGACACACTGGACACACGCCCTTATTTGTTAATGTTTGTTGTTGTTTATGGGCTGTTCTAATTTTGATTTCTTTCTGTTGTGAAACCTTTCTTTTTCACGTTTTTACACTCATCTAAAAATCTCATCTAGAATCTAGACTAGCTGTTGAAAATTGAAATAGATATAGACCCAAAAATTTGCTCCTGTGTGTGTGTGTGTGTATGTATGTGCGTGTTTGAGTGTGTGTGTGTGGTAGTAAGTGGAGAATGAGGAGTGTGTGTGTGTGTGTTTGTTTTTCGGGATTTATTTCAGCCTTTATTCAGTAACAGTTCAAAGTATACAAAAATAGAAACATAGGATCCATTCACTCCAGGGCTCATGAGTCGCTTGTCTCTTTCAGTTTCACTCTTTCATCCAATTCCCGTGTTCTCTCCCGCGGCTCATCCCCGTCCGCATGACTTTCATACCCCACCCCATCCCTCCAGGCACACACAAAGAAAATCTCACTTGTTCCCTGCGAACCATGGACAATAATATAGAGGCAAAACACCGCCTGAGCTGCATTCCTTTTGTTCGTGAGCTGTGGACCAGGCCAGGGGTGGTCGGTGTCGTCGTCTTGTAGTTGCTGTCGCCTGTGGATACACTCGCACATTCTTCCTTTCACCCGCTTTTACTCACACTGTTTCTCCATCCACAGTTCAGCTCGTCATACGTTCAAAAGTTGCCCACTAGTTATGTTTGGTGAGTGTGTGGTGGGTGTTACTGAAGGTTGTCTGTAGGCGGGCTTGCCATGCGGTACGTGTTCCTTCCCAGACCAGAGGCAGATGAAAGTTGGCGCCGAACTCTCGCAATAAATAGGCAAAAAATCACGAGACCGGAAACCGTTCGGAGTAATAAAGATCGGCACTATTTCTCCGAACGTTCGGAGAAATAGTCACTTCGTTTAAAATATAAGCAAATGGACAATAGAAATAAATGAATAAAGTTATGTTAAACAATTACCATAGCTAAAGTATAATGAAAGGTAGACTTACTAGGCCTAGTTATGACGCCGGAGAATAGCTTCCGATCTATTGATCGGCGCGACGCCGGAGAATAGCCACTTTGCTAAAATTATAATTCTTGAAATGGCTTCCAAAATCATGATGGTAGACAGAAAGCCACTGTTATACCATCTGTAGTTTGCGCATTTTTTGGCCCAGTTCTAAGTTTTGAAGGGCTGAGTCTGGGATTAGTAGAATTAAGGCGCAGCCACAGTTGACCCTGCAGACTTTATCTACTCTCGTTGTTTGGGAGCGCTGAGTTGCCAGGTTTTCTTCGGTTTCTAACCAAATTCTCACCACGATTAATTCTAGCGAAATACATTGTATTATTAATAGAGAGGAGGAATTCCGCAACGAGCAACCAATGTGAAACAGAGAAGAATAGAGAGTTGTTAGGGTTAGTGAAGGGGTAGTAGTATGGGTCTAGTACAGTCTGGGGTAGGGGTAGGTCTTTTCTTGTGTTTGTTAGGGGTTGGGATGGGGGTAGGGTAAAGGTCTTCTCTTTATCTTGTGTTTGTTGAGGGTTGGGGTTTGGTGAAGGGGTAGGATAGGTCTCCTTTTTATTGTGTTCGTTTAGGGCTAGTGGTAGGTTGTTAGGGTGGAGGACAGGGTTAGGGACAGGTGTAATAATAGTAGGTCTCTTTTTTGTTGTGTTTGTTGAAGTTAAGGGGTGGGGCTGGGGTGGAGTCGGCTTAGGGTTAGGGTTAGACCTCTTCTTTATTGTGTTTGGGAAGGGGTAGGGTTTGCGGTAGACTTATGATTAGGATAAGGGGTGGGGGTAGGTCTCTCTTTTATTTTGTTTGTTGAGGATTATTAGGGTAAGGGGTAGGAACTAGGGGTTGGGGTAGGCTTGTTGTGTTTGTTGAGGGTGAGGGGTATGGGTAGGTCTCTTCTGTATTGTGTTTTTTGATGGTTAGGTTTTTGGGGTAGGGGTTGGGTCAGGGTTCAGGTACTGATCTTTATTTTGTTTATTGAGGTGGTTGCTCGTTGTGGAGGGTATGTTTTGTTTTCTTATAGATAGGGTAATTGGTCCCCCTGATCAGGCGCAGCACTTTTTTTTATGAAGGGGGGGGTTGCCTCTTTGATTAAGATGTGTTTTAGGGTAGATTTTATTTTTTCCCCATTTCTTCTTCCGTTCAAAACATTTGCGAAATGAAATCATTATTCGTATAATTTTTCGCTTCATCCCTTCGCGAGACGGGCGTACGAAATACAAGTAGACGGGTACGGAGAAAGCCGCGCTTGTCCACGATGGCAACTGAAAAAACGGAAGTTGTTTCTTTTATTATATGCAAATAACGTAGAGTCGAGTCCCTTCTTTATTGCGTAGGTTGGGGTGGTCACTCGTTACGGAAGTCCTTCCAGGGGGCATGCCCAGTAACCCACGATTTGATGTTTGACAATTAGAATCTAGATCTAGTGTTGATAATTTATGAAAAAGAAATGATTTGCAGGGGTTTTAGTGGCCATATGTGTTCTGCAGCAAAAATTGTAACGGTTTAGCCCTCAAAACAGAGCATCTATGTGTGCAGGTCGAAAAGTATCCATAGGCCTAAATCTAACGAAATCTTGGAAGATTGGTTGAATTTTGTATTTTTAAAGACGTTTTGATCTTCTATACTTTATTTAAATATATATATACAGTAGTCTCCGCCTAAGATCCCACCGCTTACGATCCCGGTTCGCTTAAGATCCCGTTGTTTTAGTAAAACAGAATTTTTACTATACAAAAGTCACCCCTAAGATCCCGCTCTGATGGTTTGCATTCGGCTAAGATCCCGCATTTCAGATCAAAATTTGCTAAACAAAAACCCGGGCGGGCACAGCCGATCAACCTAGAGTGAAAAGTTGAGATCAATAAACTGTCCGTCGCGTCAAAGATCAACCACTATCGTGAATGTGATCACATACACGTTGTAAAACTCGATGAAGCGATACAGTGTTTGCCCCAGACGGGATCACACCGGGGTGTGAACTGACCGACGCGTTTGTTTTCCCCACGCATCGCACTCACACCTGAGCTCGCCACCTAAACTTGCATCACTCGCTGGGTGGGTAGGGCCTACACGTTCGCTCCAGGCAGGATCACATCGAACCGTGAACTCTTCCTTGACCATTGCAGCAGTTGTCTCTACTCCCGAATTTGCGAGACAGACTGAATTTTGATTGGTGGGTTCACAACGTAATGGTGTGTAACGACAAAGGCGGTTTGGAAGAGGGGGGGGAGGGGGACTCGGTCAGAGATGGAAAGCTATAAATTTTTGACAGGTAAAGAGGAGAGGCAACTGGATAAGGGTAGATCTTGAGACTCATGATAGGATTATAAGTGAAAATGGCACACCTCATGCCACTATGCACCGTGATAGGTCATCAAGGTTAACCACTCTTTGCTCGTCATATGCCATAAACCCACCAAGGGGGCACGTCAGTTCATTGTAGAGAGGAGGGAGACCATTTTACCGATTGTGAGCCTTAACATGGTTCACCATAGATTCTTCCCTGGGTTCATCGGTTAAGATCCCGGTTCGCCTAAGATCCCGCATTTCCTTGCTCCCGAGCACCGGGATCTTAGGCGGAGACTACTGTATATATATGTCTAGGCCTATCTGAGGTTTTTAAATGATGAAGAATCTAAAGAAGGTCTAGCCTACAGCCTATATATTCAAAGGTGAGAATTCATTTCCTTCCTGACTGGTGATAAGGAATAAAATTTGAGAGCTTTTTTCACTTTTTGAAAGATATAAATATGATAGCACAGTAAAGTCTTTGGAACTTTATATGCTACTCAAGTTTTGGGGCTAAACTATAGGGCTAATTAGTGGTTTAGTAACTGACTGTCAGTCTTGACAATGCAAAACAATTGGGGGGAAGGGGGGCATTGGACGAAATCTTCAATACTGCTGTTTAGACAAAACATCTGAAAGTACAGTCGAACCTGTGTGAGACGGAATCGCAAGGAGTCAGAAAAAAAATTCCATCTTAGACAGGGGATTCCGATGGGAGATGGAGGGGGGTTTCAAAGACCCATTCGGTGGGATCATCAAGGGGCGCATGTCCGATCGACACAGGCAGTGGTCAAAACTTCACACCTCTCAGCTGCTTTCCTCTCTGATAATGAATGACATGCGTCAGTCTTACTTTTATGTAATTACCACCTGTGCTTGCATTTCATTGGACCACTGTTTGACCTATTAAAATCGGAAACATTTGAACATCTTTGCTTCCATCCGTAGCTTCAGCCATCAGTGTAACAAGCAGTCAACCAATCCCACCCCTCACTGCCATGTAACAACGATTCAAGGAACTCTTATCTCGGCTGGTTACACGGTCAGAGCAGCATGCATTGACAAATTGACTAATTTCCGGCCTCTGCTTCTGGCTACCCAGGAAAGTTTCCATTGTGGCTTGCTACTTGAGTACTTTGACTGGCACTAGTGAGATTTCACACCGACACCCCTGACCATCTGCATCCCTCAGGGCTCACATAAATGGGGTAACATCTACCCACAAATTGCACCCTACTCCCCTTCCTTGCCTGGCGGCATGGCATTATTAAGTTTAGAGCTGGCAGAACCAAACTTGCAAGTTTTGTTTTTTAGTAATACTCTTTTTTTTTAAATTTTGATCTGTCAGTGGTATTTTTAGAGTACAAAAATTGAAATGTTTTGTTGGTTTTTTTTTAAGATTTGGCATCAGCGCTGAGCTGCTCTACACACTGATTTGGACCCTGCAGGGATGTTTTTAGTAGTTGTAGTCCTTGAGTCATCCCTGTTCTATAATGGAAAGTGGTAAATTAAAAGCAGTTAGTGCATGAACCATTGTGTCATTGTCCTAGCTAGTAATTAAAAGAACGGGGGGGGGTAACAGTTGGAATGGGTTGTTAAGACAAAGTACTGTCAGAGCTTTTCTAACGAATTGTACTCTTTTCTTTATATTATGTATTGCATCAAAGTTGAGCTGCACTACCTAGCTCTCCTTCAGACCCTCCTGTAAATACTTAGTAGTTACCTGTCTGCTGTATATGTACTGAAAACCTGTGAACCAAAAACTGTATACATAATATGGACCATTGTTTTTGTCAACTGTAAAAGAGCCAGGGCATTGTTCTGCCGGACGCTAACAAAACACCTATATTTTCTTATTCACAGCAGTTTCGAGATGAAAGGGCGTTTGGTCATCTTAACTGTTTTTAAAAAAGCATTCTTCTGAAATTTGAATTCTAATTTAATATTAAAAAAATCTTTTTTTAAACTAGTCACAGTATCGTTTCACTTTGATTTTTTCTCACAAGTGGGGTAATTGGGGGGAGGAGGGGGCTGTTCGATCTCTGATATAATTTTTATCTACTCATTACATTTCAATACATTTTCATTTTTATAATTGTTACACTCAGAAGACTTTGGTGGTTGACAGGTGCTGTTGTGAGTGTGTTTTGCTCCTTCCTTCGTGATAAAAATCTATCGTCCTTTCCTATCTACCTTTTTGTTGCATATTTAATGATATTTTACTGTCGTAAATCCTCCAAACTTCTGAACTTATGTATGATGTTTGTTTACATTGCAAGTGCTATAAAAGTTACTAAAAACTTATTTAAAAACAAACCGTGACGGATTTGAAAGCTGTGTGTATCCCTTTATAACTTTCTCTTGTGTTGTGTTGGTTTAAAAATAGTGATTTAAGTTTTCTTGTCTTTGCTTACTTACCTGATATATTTCGCTGTTCGTATGTTTTGGTGTCTGGCTGCATAGAGCTGCTTCTCTGTGTGGTTATTTCTATTGTTGGTCTATTCAAACTAGATTTGTGGTCCTAGGTTTGATATTTTTAAAAAAGCTGTTTTCATTTTGCTCTCTCTTCATAAAAAGGGAATGCTGCAAACAGTAAGGTCTTTCCGGCCTTTTTTTTTCAAGAATACAAAGTTTTTGTGTTGTATTTAGTCATTAGACATTGGATATTCATTTTTAGGCGTGATAGTATTGTTGTCATCTCCCTTTTGTCTAATGCTTTATGTTCCGCAGAGTGTGTTATTTTAGGCTAATATAGATGTCATGTTTACTGTTTAATTAAGATGACCTGTCATAAAATTTCTGTTTTTCCAGGTATGGGAAAGTGAACATACCTTTCCCAATGTCTCAGCTGTCGACGGGCAGCTCGGCCAGTGCGCCGCTGTCTCAGGATACATTTCAGCAGTTGTGGACTTATCTCAAGGGCTTTGATTCAAAGTAAGCACTTACTACTTACTTATTCATTTTTTATGCTTATTAAGATAGACTTTTTTCAGAACTTTTGCTTCCATTCATCTATTATTTGCTCAAATCATGTCGATGTAGATGTTCTTTTTAAGTTTTAAATATTTCTTTTTTGTACTAGGTGCAAAGTTTGTTGTACTTTTTGTCATATTAGGGCATGTTTTTGAAAATGAGACCTTTACTTTATTACTGAGTAATAGATCTAGCTAAAGAGCGAACACTAACAGGGCTACTTGTTTTGAAACACATGCCCCCTTCAAATTGTTAGATGAGACCAGGTTTCTTTTGCACCAGTTTCTGTTCTTAGCTTTGGCGTAGGGTGTCATTCCTCATTATACAGTTGTGTATATAGGACAAATTATATTGCATCACTCTATTATATCGTATTTCCTTTTTATTTTTACACCATGAGCAAATTATAGTTTAGTGTGCAGAAAAGAATATAACCTGACTTGATGGTATATATGAAAGAAAAGCATGCATATATTATACTTTCATGGCTTCATGGTGATTAACTCAAAAGTTGTCTGCTGTCAAATTGTTATATTTAAGATATTAGCTGATTAGCATATTTGTACATTAGTTTTGATGGTAATCATAAACAGGCCTTTATTATATTTTTTTTGTGTGTGTGTGTTAAAAAAATGCCCTAAAATCCCTGTTACTGTTACTATGCTCATACTAACTTAATTCCCCTTGTATTATTATGGTTATCCAGGTATTTGAAAATTTATAGTCTCACCTTCTCAGCTGATTAATATTTAATCTTGTCTTGTTGTTTCCAATCAGTGATTTCGCCCATGTTCAGACAAGGGATGAATTCAAGTTTGCTGAGGATGATGAAGAGGAAAGCACAATGCTGGAAGTGGAGAAGTTCCAGATTAAAGGGAACTCGGATCCTCTAGACTTTGTAAGTGCATTTTGATTAGTTGAATTTTTTTTCGTTTGTTCTATCTTTTCCATCTTTTCTTTAATTTTAAAATGAATTGGCACAATGTTCCTTCAATTAATATAATATTTATTTATAAGTCATGATGTTGTTCAGGAACTTGCTTTGCCAGTATTGAAATGCTGGCATGAACAAAATCAGTATTTTTCCCATTTAAAAAACAAAACAAAACCTATGATCCTGCGTGTATGCAAAGAATAGTAAGTTAGTAAGTATGCTAAGAAGAAAAGATTACAAGGAGCTGCTTAAATAATGGTCTCTTGGGGTGGAACTTATTTCTTTGAAGTTCTGGAGTAAACAGTATTTCTGAAGATCGGTTCACCCTGTTCACCCGTGTTCTGCAAAGGCTTGATAAGGAAGTGTGTTGTTGAACAGGAGTGCCATTTCTAAGTTGCTGACTAACGCTTCCAGGGAGATAGCATGTAAGAATAACGAACCGATTTTAATTTTAAAGATGCTGAGAAATGGTGTAACTGCGAAAGAAAAAAAAACCGCGGTTATTGTGAACTTGCCACCGATGTCGGATTTTTTAAATTAATTTCTCCGTGTGAATCAAGGGAGATAATCACTTTTGTGTGTATAACTGATTTAGTAATGAGTTATTTCCCTTGTCTTGGTTAATTAGTTGGGCGGTTTACTGACAGACATCGTTTGTTTTTTTGTTTTTTATACTAGTTCACTGGGATGCTCCACTGTGTTGGTACAAGTTTTTCATATTCGGGTATCAGTTATTTGTCTTCCCTTTGCATGAGTTTATATATTTATTGTCTTTGCGGTGTAGGTGTGGTTTTGGTGTCTCTTGAGCTTTATATCTTTTTTTTACCCAAGTATAGTTCAGTTTGTTTATTGTCTTGTTTACGCTCCAGCAGGTTGATAGGAGTGCCATAAGTAACTTCTGCCAAAAATTGTACGTTGGATAGAAAATACTTCTTGAACATAATCTTCTGTACATTTGGTTGTGTTGTGGGTTGACACGTATAGAGTAAAACTCAGTATTGTTTTTCCCTGCTCAGTCCTTGTTACAGTTGACCATCTTTTACTTGAAGTTTGTTTTTGCAAAGTCTGTTGTTATTTCTAATGAATGGCATCAAAAGTAATTATTCCTCCCTGCTCAAGTGTCTTTAAAAAAATTTTTTTTATTGTGGCTGCTTGTCTGGTAACCCAGTGTGCATCCTGTCACCTTGCAGCGTCTCATTCGGTGTACTGTATATTGTGTAAAACTGACGCATATCATCTTTAACTGAAATAGTGAAGCACATGCAGGGCCATTATATCAGTGATGGTGTGATTATTTCTTTTGTATGTGTTCTGGGAGTGTTTACCAATATATATGAGGCTTCTAAAGGTGGAATTCCCCCCCCCCCCCCGTCTTTCCTGAACAATTAATGTGTGAAGCTTGATCTGTACATGTATAGTTATCGGATGTTGTTGAAAGGAGTCTCCCTGTATCTTTGCTTTCCTGTTTTTTTCCATATTGTGACCCATCATTTTGTGTTTTCTAGTATTTGATGGGTACTCTGATGTAGCCAGCTTTTTCTTTTCCTCCTCTGTTATACTGTCGTTATTCTGATTTGTACATTACAGTAAAAAGCAGTGCTGACTTCGCTAACTTGCCAAACGCACTGTTTTCTTGATTTTGCTTTAGGCATTGGACTATAGCTATGATTTGATAAATGTGTTTTGCATGTCTTGTTCTTTCAATTCTCTAGAGCCCTTTTCGTCCGTCTGTCTGCCTGCCCC